ACCTACGCGCGGTTTGCAGCTGAGCGCGAAAATTGATGATGACCACGACGGTGATAATAAGCTGTGATACACGCGCACCAATCCATGGCAACAAATCCAGGTTTCTCGAATCGAACTTGAACCTCTACCTTGTATTTATTCGGTGGCTTGCAGTTTCTCCACTAGAGCAAGCAGAATCATGAGCTATTCTTGTCTCGGCACTGAGTTCATTTTAAACTAATATTTCCGTGAATCCGTGCACCATCTCGGCCGATCCGATAATTTCTGAACACGCCCATCTAGGGAGTCGGGATGCGTGGCGACTAGCTGTGCAGGGTACGGAATCGTTCTTAGCCAGCGGACAGAGGGCCCCCAGCTTGATGACCGTCCACAAGTTATTTTATGGTATTATTTTTGCACGGTCAAGGAAGAAACCGAAAACTGACCTTTGAGAGGGTATTGTGTCAGCTGACGTGACATCAGGTTGTATTCCCTACGCTGCCCAGACCGGGACTGAATGAACTTTTACGATCGGCCACTACCTAAGTTATCACCGGTTTCATTTTCAATCACATTGATCAAACATTGTGCGCTGCCAAATATCCATGCGGCCCTGATTCTACACCAACATATTTTTTATTTGACAAAAGTGTGGGATATCTACCAATTACACACTGCTGAAAGAGCCTTAACTTGCAGTTGCTGAAGACGTGAACGGTTACGCCGTTTTTCTGATGGACGCAGTTCTTACGTTTTCGTTAGCTCCATATGCTACCGGAACTACTCACTATGAGCTTCGCGAATTCACTGATTTCAACGCCATTCGGTTTCGGCGGGTTGTTCAAATGATTTTCAGTTGAGTCTCCCGTTTACTAAATGTTCCAACCGAAGTGCCTTTAAAGGCTATCTTACGTTACAGTTACACGTGCAGTCGAGGTACCACAATATATTTTCTTGGAAAGACAATATTCCCAAGCTGTCTGAAAACGATTTGATGGGCCTTGGTCTGTTCAACCGTTCTTCAGGCTAAGCAGACCTCTATCATCCTTACAATCTACAAGAATACAGCCTCATGGGATTTACAGGACGCACTCGTTTGCACACCAACTTGCCTATGATTGGGGATCCAGCTGACTCCCAGATGAATTTGCTGGTAATCACTTTCCTAACTTTATATTTGGCGTAAAACAGCGTCACAAATGCCTCATGGACTTGGACCGTGGGGGTCATTTTGCAGCGCAATCAGCTGGGATTTAATCGAGTCAACCCTGAAAACAAACTCATGTGCACAAAATGTATTTTGCGAATAAATATGTTGTATTTTCGTAGTAGACAGTCCCTACTTGGGCTAAATGCACTGGGCGAAAAAGTCGGAATACTTTCTCCCGGACATTGAAAGCAGTTAATCACGATTGCGATCATACTCCCAATCTGCATGTGTGTGCTGAACTTCGGAGTAGTAAAATCACAGCGGAGGATGTCACAAGCAAACTGGTTGAGATTAGAGAGGACGTTGATTGTCTGCGAGTAAAGAACTCGTTGAACTACGTGGTGCATTTAATCTTAGTTTTATGTACTCAAGCCCACCTAATTTAAAACGGCTCTCCAGAAATGCTATACTGAACCCACTTAGATTACTTGACTGGTCGCGCCTCCACAGGATCGCTGACACAGTTGCTTATTCTTTATGGAGACAAGCAAAGAACTGTCCGCCTCTGGCAGCTGCGGTCCCTGAGGCGAAAGCTACTCTCAAAAAAGGCTCTAAAGCGGAGAGTTCAAGGAGCTTTTTGGACGGGATAATCAGTTTTGAAACTTTTTTCGAAGTAAACCCGGTGGAACTTACCACCGGATCTACACGACCAGCTTTTTCCGAATTAACTAATATACATACTGGTTTCATAGTGTGCAATTTCAATTTATTACAATTTGACCTTTGAACCACGACTCAAACTGCGCATGGATCTTGCGTTTTAAAGGCAGTACGGTGTAATGCGAGTGCATTGGACAAGAAATCCACAAGATATGACGTAAGACAGCGAATATATAGAGGTGACGGGCGTGAACACGAACGCTGTCGCTGACATACAGTGGCGATTTCATGGTATTAACTGTAAGCGACAAAACCGATAAGTCGAGCAACGAGCACCGAAGAATGGATCCGAATTCAAAACGAAAGTGATCCCGACGAAAATGTGCTGTACTATACGACAAAACATCAATAGATTAATTAATGTACAACAAACCTTGATAGTTATCGACCGATAGTTAGACCAACGAAAAACACAAAGACGAGTATTTAGCGCGAGAAAACAGTTCGAAAAGTGCCGAAAATGTGAATTTAAACAAATGATAATAGGTTCATTCAAGGAAAAAAGAACCTGTTTGCATTTTATGCAACGCAATGTTTTAATTGATGAGATAGACATGGGGTGATGCGATAATAACGAAATATCAATGAATAGCAGGCAGGATTAGGCAGGACACTTGAATTTATGCAACTGAGTTCAGGGAGATGGGGTGGGAGTTTCAAGCGTGGCAGGATTAGGCAGGACACTTGAATTTATGCAACTGAGTTCAGGGAGATGGGGTGGGAGAGATTTTCAAGCGTTTTGTGCGATATAGTAACATGATGATCAATCCGAAACATCCATCGGCTCGGTCCCACTTTTAATGTGTTGACTGTTTTGTCAATGGCCATGGATGAAATCCTACTAGAATTCCTAAAAGATTGCCTTTGAAGACTAAGCCAAATTTGCCCGACCGTTGGAAAAGTGCAGGTTTATTTGGGAGAACTGTCGGTTTTTACAAGTAGCTTTTTGTTCGCGTGAATCACCCTCTATTGGATCTTTTTAGTCCTTGAATCCACATTTTTGAGATGTCCCCATTGCACCAAAGCCGTTTGAGATTGCTGATGTCGGGGCCTTTTCGTGTACTGCTGGTGCCGATCTTGTAAGTTTTTTTATGTATAATCTTAAGGGGGCAAGAAAAGGCTGTGATAAATATTTGACCCATGGGAAATAACATTACCATTTTAATTAGAGGCCCTAAGGAACCCCAAACATCCATTAAGTTACCAGTGAACTAGATTAGTGCATCTCAAAGTCGGGTCCACCGCACTCGTTGATTACGTTCAAATGCTTAGTTTGTTGTAGTTTGGGCTTGGACAGACACTGCAGCCCAGTTCTGCCTGACAGTGCTGTGTGCAAAAATGGTTCCTTCTTTAGTATAAAAATAACACCATTCACGCTGTCAATGAACGAGCCATGAGCAAACGATTATTAGTTCGATACGGCCGGACAAGAAACCTCATCCTTTCAGGATAAAAAAGCGTTGGTGTCAAGTTGACCGCACAGCGTGTCAAAAGTAATTGGCTGTACAGCAGCTCTGCCCGGACGACACACTTGCAGGAAGTTTGTCCTGAGTTTAAAGTAGAATACTTCAGACTTACTTGAAAGCGTTGCTCAAACCCGGTCAACAAGGAAATGCCAAGCTGCACATATTCACATTATCTTTTCCCAACATATGAATTTCCGGGTATCAAACAACAGTGCATTGCTACGTTTAATTTTTGGACACCCGTGATTAAATATTATCTTTATCTGCATCACCGGACGGGAAAATGGCCACTGGCTCAAGGTCCTATTCAGAGTAGCCCACGCCGCCCGTAGCTGCAGGATTCAGGCTCCCACAGGTGCCATTTAGATATATGTATGGAACTACGGTAAATGATGATCGGTGGTATATACGACGGACTTCAGACTCCAAAACGTGATTTTATCGGTTATCACTCAACCAGGAGGTTAAGAACGTACAAGGATTAGATGAAAAACAATCACGCGGATCTGTTAATGCATGCTAATATGATTGCGCAACCTATGTAAAGGGCTCGTTGGAGTACAGTACACAACCATATCACGTCAAATAATCCCGTTTGCACGCATAAACTTTGGTAAAAATTGGGTCCGAAGACTATTTTTGACATGGTTAGGTAGAAATTTTCGGGACTGCAAACTGTCACGCAATGGACCTTTTAGTTTCGTCAATCATTTGCCCTCACGGCTGTAGCATTTGCTTTCAAATCGCCTTGAGGTATTTAAACACCGATTGAGATACTCTAAACATGCCTCAGTAGGGATTTTCCTCCAACAGGATACACTGACTTGGACTTACCGATTGAGTTTAATCGGGTTTCTCGCGGCCTGATATCGTTTATTCATATTTGAATGCTGATGTTGTGAAGCTTCACAATGAAAACACCTTCATATGTTGACCTTCATTTATCACGTGCTATGTAGCTTATAACAAGTTTTCTTTTTTCGAGTATATTTATTTTTACTGATACGCGGGGCCAAAAGTATTCAGATGAACCTTCAATAGGTGCTACAAAAATGTCCGTGTCTTCAGAACTCGAAGCCATTGCAAGTAGCGTGCACCAGTACGCTGCCTTGATCAACATTATCTGTACACAACCGGCAAACACCTCTTTGCACGAATGAAAGAGCGTAACTTATTACGTTTGTGATATGTGCAATACAAGGGAACCTTACCAACAAACCGAGGATGCGTTTTTATGCGCACCCTGTATTTTACAAACTGATATTATCTTCCACCATGAAATTTACAGCAGTCCATCTCAGTTCATTTCATTACTTATCGGCTTTGTTTACCTCTACACCATTAATTGCTTTCACAATCTACGCCTGCGAGCCACTCGCCTCTTAATTCATCTTTTTGGCAACGGTGATCGAGCTATGATTCTCGGGATCGCCGCCTGAAACAAGGTAAACCACGCTGACATATATACGTCCGTCTGCCCTTCTTAC